TGCACCCCAAACTTCCTTGTCAGCATGGCAGTACAAGAAATAGAAAATGCCTTGGATCTGTGGAAGCCCTGATCAGCAATAGCAAAACATCTCTGTATTATCAACCTTGTGTTCAGCACAAATCCAAAACACAGCCCCGGACTAGCCACTGTGAAGACAATTAATTCTACCCTGGCCAAAACCAGCACAGAGGCAGATTGTCATTAGCCCTGTGCTGCCTGACCTGGTATTTGTGTTGCCACAGCAAGGTACCTATGATTCATCTGCAGGTGTTTGTGGTTCAGCGAGCAACTTGTGCTCAGGCTGCCTGCCAGTCCTGCCTGCCAGTCCTGCCTGCCAGTCCTGCCTGCCACTGCCAAAGGCAACATCCAGCCTTTCTCAGAAGGATCCCTGTAGAGACAAAGCATTGCTGCAAAAGTGGACAGACGGTTAGAGGAGGAAAGGTCAAGAGGGCTGGATTAGTCCACCAGTCCATACTGTAAGCAGGTGCATGCTTTACTGTGACTATTATATTTGTATAACCAGGTTCTCTGCCACAGGAAAGCAGCCTTCTTTTTTCTTAGCAGGTATAGGTGCATTTGTGAGTGTACAACAGACGTCTCAGACTTTTCCCCCATATGATAAAGGACAACAGTTAGCTACATTTGCAAGGTCACATTGCAAGGATTGTACGTTGCTTTCATTTCTCTGAACTTCACTGCAAGGTTTGTCTTCATTTTATCTGCCCTTGTTGGGTTGAGTTTATGATTTTGAGCCTCCTTAGCATAAAGCATGAACAAATTCAGTGGATGAATCAATCTGAATACTGGAGCTGTATCAAGTTGTGCATCTTAGAATAGCAGTCCCATTGAATAAGTCTATGAGTAAGAAGCTCTCACAAGCATGTGCTGCCTTTGCTGTGTACTAGAAATGCAGGACCCAGCTGGAATCAAAAGGCAATGGCAGACATTTCTGAAAGAGTTTCGAGAAAGAATACATCTGGAAGGATGGTCATTTTGAGTCACCTGCTATATGAAATTGTTTGGTCAAAAGATACCCAGACAGCTAAGAGTCATCGAGCAGGGAGAGAAGGCTGATCCTGCCACTCTGAAGGACCTGAAGCTGTGCCAAATTATGCAGAGTTAGTTAAGGACTGTCATTCTCAGCTTTCCTAGTACATCAGTGATTCTTTTTTGTCACAGAGAGATGGCAGAAAGAGGGTGTGAGTATAGGGGAGGAACCGAATAAAACTGATGTTAAAAAGCGTGCGTCTATCTATCTATCTATCTATATGTGTGTATATGCATATTTAAAAACCAAATGCACATATACCCATATATATTTATATATAATTTGGAATTTTGCAGTGTTAGCTTGTGACAGATATAGAGATCAATAAAATGTGTCACTGCTCTTCCAGGCTGTACACATTGCAGAGCTTACTGATGCTAATATTTCTATAAAAATGCTCCTTTGCATGCAAGACACTGCAGTATTTTATACTGGGTGAATATGAAATTATTTCTGAAGGCATGACCAGGTAGATCTGAAATTATCTCTGGAAGTAATGCTATGTTAAAACTGAAATACAAGATGTCACTTTTAATTCTGTCGTCTAACGATGGATACGTGATACCAAGATACAGATCTATTTGGATAGTGGAGCTGTGTTATTTAAGCTGTATATTCCACAGTGTGGCTCATCCAAACCTCAGCATTTGTCCCCATATTCCCTCATCTTGCTATGTGATCAGTGCCAGCTGCACTGATTGCCTCCAGGAATGTTTTCTTGACAGAGTAGCTTGTCTTTTTCCCACTGTCCGTCCAGACAGACTTGCAAGTTAAGATGTCATTGAGGTCAGAACTGCTAGAGGTACATAAAATATATATGTGTATATATATATATATAT